AAATTACAGCACCGAACCGTGCTTCATCACTTTCTAACGTATCAATTACGACCCCTGTGAACACCAATTGATAGGCGGCATAAGTCCAATCACGAAATCTAAAGGGAAGGCACTCACCAGCAACATGAAGAATCATTTCCAAATAAAACGGAATAATCGTCAAGCTATCGATTATATTCAACGGTTTACAAGCAAATTCACATTTCTTTGTACATACAGCAAATCTCACCAAATATTCAATCGTGAACCAAATCAGACACACCTGAAACTGCGTATTTAACATCGTTCATCGTAGCGATGCATGTTTGCAATTTCATTTCTCAATTGCAAACGTTGCACAGTCCTTCCTTTGCTCTATTTTTCTCAGCAAAATAACGTTCTTTGGATTTTTCGACTATTGATTATGATTCTGTGCTTCATTCGAGTACATTATTTGGTTAATCCTCTCGAAGTTCCATTTCAGAAAAACAATGTCCTAACTTATTTCGAAAAATTATGTCTTCGGATTGAGAAAATCAGCAACACAAATCTTATTCAAACGCAATGGTGTGCGATTAATTGTGTGGACTTATGATGATAATTTCAGTATTTTACTGGTACCAATTTTCCGAAGACAGCACTTCAGTTTCGAAGATAGCACTTCTTTGGAAGTTTTCAATCGTTGATTCAAGAAGCCTTTATATACAAAAAATTTTTCTTCTTCATAAACAATCGAATCATAGCTTTATTTTAAGGGATCACTGCTTTTTTCTGACAAAGAGCATTAGAATAATTCACTTTCAGCATGCTTCATTCCGTCATTATTAGCTAGGTGATGCGATATGAATTGAATGGACGTTGTCATTGCAGTAAAAATGTCCTATCCACATGTCTCCCAATGAGATCGAATCCACTAGAATTGAGGTGGGGAGAGGAAGTGACAGGTTAGGAGGAACTGCTACAAATACAATTTTTCTCGATACTATGCCCTCATCGAGTTCCACGAGTAGCTAATGTCTAGGGATTAGAAGCAAATGAATGAAGTAAAAAATTTGCGAATAACAACCCTGGAAAGATACAATAAGTGTAAATGTGACTCTATGACTGCATTTGCGTGATCCGCATTCATTGATGATGATTTGCGAAGTTTTTTCTCAAGGAGAACGGATTTTAAGGAACCCTTCTGATGATTCAAGTCGAACTGAAGAAAAACCATATGCAAGAGGCGTATTTTGCATAAGCAGGTACTTGCATAACTAACCAATTCAATATAGTCTAACAGTAAGTGAGGCTTTAAACTGAGGTTCTCTTCATCGATCGCTGATGAGTTATTCACAGAATCAGCTTGAATATCCGGTAAGGAAGCGAGAATCATACCGGTTACAGAAACTATTACCATCGATATGCTCACAAGGGCAAATCCCTGAAATTGATTGGTGCTTGATCCTTTTTGAGATGTCCAACTTCGCCGTTAACGATAAACATTTAACTTCTGACTTTCGGCATTTGCAATTTTTGTGCTTTCAGCAATTTCTTCCCTCGTTCTAGTTTTTGACAGACAAGATCGCTCTCAAACAACATTCAAGTATCCCTGCTGAAGATCGCAGCCCTCTTTAGTGAACTCAAATATTCACTTATAATTTCACCATTCAAGCTATTATTGACGTTTCCAATAATTAATTGCTCATTTGTAAGTTCATAAATAATTCACTCGATTTTAGTTTTTTAAAAATATTTTTGCACTCAAACTAAAGCATATGGCGTCTCATCAAGATATCAGTCTGCCCAAAGTGCATCTGAAATAAATTATGCTCTCATTGTCAACTGATTTCGAAAGGATTGTAACTCTTTACGAGGACGTGAAACAAATAATAACATTTCTGCTGAACAATTGTGCGAATAAAGTGCTCAAATTATTATTATTATCGATATACTCACAACGGCAAATCTCTGAAATTGATTGATGTTTGAACTTTTTTGCAACGTCAAATGTTTATCGTTGGGGGCGAATTTGAACTATTTAACGCTTTAAGTGGATGTGGCCATTCTCGCGCACAGTTTTCAGCGCTTCAAGTGGATATACACAACAATTTTCGTACACTGTGCGAAAAAATTTAGGTCGCCTTGCGTAAGCATTTTCACGGATTAACCTGCAGCACCAACCTTTGCCGAGGTACTCGAACTAGGGTCCTCCATCAACAGCCATAATTGGCGCCTCAAATTTGAACAACGTATCTCATCGTAATGATCATCTGTTGAAAAGAATAACAGTTTCATTTAGATGCAGAATAATTTCAATTATGCGCATCATTTGACTTTCTATTTCAATTTTTGATGGGACTTCATCGCTGCTTAAGCACATTCATGTAAGAAAGCACATATAAATGGCTACTCAGCGGTAAAGAGAGTTTGAAATTCCATTTCAGCTGTTCACCAAAATTCATGTCATCAACAGTGTTGCTAAGTAAAACAGCCTATGACTCCATACGTTCCCAGAAACTCATGGTGATAATGAACTGTTACCGCATTCGCCCGATGGTAAACTCCCAGTTGCTTCTCCATCCTCATCACCTGAACCGTCCACATTTGGCATACAACATGGGGCGAACATATTTCTGTAATCATACCTTCACTTAATCGCCCATATTATCAAACTATTTTTGCTTAAAATACATGTCGACCGTCTGATTTTACCTTCTTCAAAACAGAGCCCTCTTCATTTTTCTCTTTGATTTCAAATTTTCTTCAGCAACAACATCGAAATTTAAAAATGATTTTGGAACTTCGCGGAATCGAACGCACGCTCTCTAATTGTAAGCTCATCCAATTCTCAGAGCACAGTGGGTCTCTAACACAGCACCGTCTCGTCGTACGCTCTTACGAGATCCACCTATGAGTTCTTTTTTCACAGCATCACATCATCTATTCCTGCCTGGCCGTTGCACACCTCATATACCCAACTCATCCATCAAATGCATTTTCGAATCAAACACCAATTAAAACAATCGCATTAATCACTGAACATTAATCTTTTGTGAGTGACAGCTGGTTCAGCACATTGGACGTGTGTACGAGGCTAACTCACCCATTGATTTTCCAGTAATCCAGTTCCTGATAAAGTCGCTCTGCACATATATCGCCATGCCTGTGAAAATGACCCGTTGCGAGAAAATCGTATATTGGTTCGAACACTTTTGCAGATCTCTCGAAAAAATACTCCTCTGAACTTTCAATATATCCATCACATCGCATCAATCGCTCTTCATGTGGCAAGCGTGCAAAGGTCGCTAAGAACGACGTTGGACATCGATACTGCAATTGGTCTATCAATGTTCCAACGAACTGAACTTACGTAGCGACAAACCAGGCTGAAGATGACCATCAAATTTTCTGACCCATAAAAGCGATTCGTTGAACAGAAAAATCTTTTCCTCTTAAGCAAAAAATTGAATCTACATAATCAGATCGTCTAACTTATCGCGTCAGGATCAATTTCGAACGCGCATCTCCCATCAAAACGTCAATGATAAAACAAAATTCTAACCATTTCAGTTCTAAACGAATAAGCAGTATTCAAGTATTTCGAATGTGCTTTGACTAAATAATGTCATAGAATGCGATTCATTCCGTTGTTTGTGAGAAAATGAATTGAGTGAAATTTTACTGAAGTTGAAATGTTACTGAAGTTGTCTCCTGATGCGAATAGCATACCATAATTTCTAGTTTCATTCGTTCTGTTGTATCATGCAAACTCCGCACGTATTTTGAGAAATGATGCATTGAAGAGCAAATAAATGATCACATAGTAATGATCACATAGTTTGATCGGAAAAATCTGACAAGTTTCGGTCGGAATTCTGAATGTCAGGATGTTGAAAAGTCAATTCGATCGAATTCCGACCGAACTGAATTTTTTTTCGGATGCCATCACTATCAGATGCACATCACAATGAGAAAATTTTAAGAAAGATGCGTAGCAGAGATATACCACAGACACAACCTCTTGAAACGTTTTTCACTTTTTCAGCTCCATCAAACGAAGTCGAAACGATAAACACATATCAAGTGAGCATTATTAATTACATAAGCGGTAACAAATTGATTTCTCCCGAGAAATTTTGCCTCAACCCCATCAATTACTGAACAAATGATCTAGCAATCACGAGAAGTGAACGTTCGTCTGTTGAACAACGCTCCCGATTTTATCAGCAACTCAATCATTCGCATCAACAGTCATTAATCATTGAATCCACTACACTTCGGCACTATTCATCATATTCTCATTTTAGATCACACATTAATCATGATTCCAGTTACTTTTCGCTGCAGCCAAGCCCTAGCCAAAACATCATAGCGTGCAATTTATGTTCATTTGTTAAATTTGCCTTTCGGCAGTTTTGCATTTCAAATCGAGCTACTGATTGCGAGCATACAGAAATGCTTTGTTGTTCACTACTTCCATCATCAGTTCATAATCGTTTGCTTAACATCGCTTATCACTGGATTGCTGTGTTCGTTTGAATTTGTTAAGATATGGTGGATTAGACTGATGGCTTAGCAATTTAAAAACAACACAAAAGGAGGTTAAACAACAGGTGTAACTGAAATGTTAAACAATAGGAATTGATCACTGTAAAGAACTGAACTTTTCTATGCGATCAGCTGATCAATCAGCTGATACGCGATTATCTGAAGATAAACCTTGATGATATGGTGGATTTGAAATTTCATATGATTCTTTTCAGCACAAAGGTTCGCTAAAATTAGATACAAAAAAAGTTGCTGCAAAAAATAACAGCTTTCCTCTGATTACTCAACGAGTTTTCCAGACTTCATTCTATATCAGCGCGGAAACAAGCTGAAAATATTACAAGCTGTGCAGACTAATCAGTCTCATA